ATCTGCACCTCACTTGACTGGACAATCTCAGAAAAAGCAATCTTGATCAAGCCAAGCCATCAAGAAGCTCAGCCAGACTCCTGATGCAACAGGAGACTCTCAGACATGTAAGACTGTGGAGGGAAGATAAGCTTAAGATGGAGGCACTACCTTTAAACAGCCATGAGAGTAAGAGCTGGAATTAATATTTATTGCCTACACAAGCAAATACGCTAAAAAAGAGACAAGTATCCTGACATGTTGGAGAGACTTGGTAACCCTGTGGTGGCCCGTTAACAACATACAATAGTGTTGCTCCAGGAAACAAAAATATTGTTTCGTAAGCCCTATGTCCCAACTCCTGTGGCCACATTTTGAAACATCCACTCCCTCCCTCTCCTCCCAACAAAAACAAAACAAACCTAAAAATACCTCCTCCTGCTTACCTGACTGTGGCCAGAGATTGAGCCCACCATGACAAATGCAGCAAGCAAAGATCTGCCAGTCCCGGAGAAGACTCTTTCACAGCAATGAAGGAAAACACATGTATGCTGCTGTTCCTTATGCTGTGTTTTTCTGATGACTAGAGGGCCATGGTTTCCAAATCTGTCTGCTTAACAGCCAACATGCATTCATATTGCATGAAATATGGTGGGAAGGTTAAATATAAAACAGGATGTAAAAAAAAAAAAAAAAAGTAAATGAAAGGCAGAAAGTCAACCAATTCAGACTCAGGATAAATGCGGAGACAGAAGAGTTTGGTGCAGAAAACAAAAATGTGATCAAAAAGAGCAAACCAAGTGATTAGCATTTAAAAAATCTTTTAAAATAGCCTTAAAGACTATGAATTCAGTGCAATGAGCCAGCAATGAAAGTATAACAGTAAATGTACTGAAGAAATGTACTGTGAGAAAATGCCTTGTGCAGCACTGGCAACAAATCTGAGGTGTTATGTTGACACACTCCCCAGTTTAGTTAAATACAGATGATAAATTCAGGGAAATGCAATCTAATGATAAGAAGCTCCTGAAGCAAGACAATGCCTTAATTCAACCACGGCTTCAAGCTCAGTTCAGTACACCAGAATCGAGCTGGGGTCCAAGCCGATCGGGAGAAGGCAAGCATTAGGTGAGGCAGAGAACAGCCAGACCTCCTAGTTAAGTGCTGGAACAAAGGAAGCACCAGCACAAATTGGGAAGTCACTGACAGTTTAGGCACAGGCAATCACATGGTCACATGCCTAGAAGTGGTGTCACATAAGACACTGACACATCCATAATTTTCTGTTATTCTTTCTTCATGGAAGTGTCTATCCTGTACGAACGCTTAAGTAAAGTGTACAGAAACCAGCTTCAGAGCAAGGGGTAAGCATTGCTCCCAGATATTCATTTCATTATGAGTATTTTAACACTAGTTGTTTTTCCATCTCAAAACGTCATTATAAAAATGCCAGCAGTTACATTGCAAGTACAGGAAAAAAAGGAAAGGGAAAAAAAAAAAAAAGGAAAGGTTAAGCTGCTGCACGTTTAACAGCAGCCGTATTTCTCCTTGCTGTGAAAGTGTGAGCGAAGTGTGAGCGAAGGCAATGGCAGTGACCTTCCTATTGTTGAAGGGAGAGCAGCAGATTCTGACAGTCTCCAAGGCAAAACACGGGAGACCTTGCAAACATCTCTCTGTAGGGGCTCTGAACAATAGCAAAGGTTCTTTCCCAGGGTTGAATTTCTCCATTCCTTTGGCACGCTTTCACAAAAGGGCTGGGTCTTTTGAGGTTATCTGCAATGTGCTTACGCTCAAAGCATTAACATGCCTGTTAGCTCTGTACCCTTAGCATACTTTTCCTGTTATTAAAGAGTGATTATAACTCAGAAAAAGAGGATCTTGGAGATGAGATACTGGACTGAGGTGGAGAAAAGCAGGGCTCTAGGCTCTACCCTCTTCTCATGCCACTTCAGGCAAGCAACATGCTTCACATTTCTGTTAATCATAGATGCTTAGTTCATAAGCTCTTTGAACAGAGATGATCTCTTTCCTTGCGTATGTAGGTGTAGAATAGCAGCACTGCGGAGCAATGGCTTAAACCAGAATGCCTTGGCACTATCAGTTACACACTAAGCATTTTAATTACTATGACAAGGCTAATTTGGCAGCTCCCTCTTTTAGTAAAAGAATTAAAACCATTATATGCCAACTTTCCTTTTTATTTTTTGAGAATACTGAGCACTTAAGTAAGTGCATCAGTCTGGCTGCACTGCCTCTCAGCTTCTCAAACACGAGTGCCTATTTCTTTGCCCATGTGCAAGTGATTTCCAGCCACGTGGGGCAAAACATTCCCTTGCACCATCGACACCGTCAGGAAGAAACTACCATCAGCAACAGGTTGTGAGAACTGCGGCTGGTGTGGTAAGAGTTTGCTGTCAACTGCTGCCGAGGCTGCTGGGTTTGGATAGAGCTGGGGAGCATAGGGTTATTTTTAATTGCTTCAAAGAATTAAAGACAGACTGCATTCAAGATCTTCTCACCAGCTCCAAGTGTGCCAACTGAAGAAAGCCCAGGGGGAAACAAGGCATGTGTTGATTGTCAAACTATTCTAGTAATAGAGATTAAGCACTACTTTGAACATTATATTGAAAGTGAATGGGTGTGATACCAGCCAAGGTGTGATGTTGTTAGCAGGCACATTCTCATACCATCCCAGTAAACAAGTTACATACCTGTTATCCATTGGCAGCCACTTCCAGCCCAAAGGCAGAGCTCAGAATTAGTCCCATCAGCTTCGGGTCGATTCAGTACTATGTCACCACGAAGTACTGCAGGATCCCTGCACTCCTCCTCAATCCTGGGCCCGTCTCATGGAAATTCATGGGGGAGTTGTGGACAGAAGTTCTCCCTTTCTGGGACACATCCACAGCGGGAAACGACGGCAGAGGGTTCTTACAGATTTGCAAGAAAGCCACAGACTTGGCCACACAAAGATGCTGTAGGTTGTGGCAGCTGCATACGCACAAAGCTTGGTAAACTACTACAAATGTGTTTTCTGCCTGGCCCCTTGCAGTGCTTCAGCTATTTAGTCTAAAAATGCCTGCCTTCTTTTTAAGCCAGGGTACTTAGATGACCTTTCTCTGTTCAAACGATTCCAGTTCATTTTGACATGTTATGCATGAAATTGACTCCTTCGCATTAAGGATGCAAAAGCCTGATGGTGGTGCAAGATTCATCTAAGTGAATGACCTGATCTAAACCCAACAGAACTACTCCTGCCTGTTCTAGGAAGCTTTCCACGGGTGCACGGCTGCACATCAGTATCCCCAGCACGGTATAGGAACCTTGTATTTCTGAATAAAATAAAGGATAAGAATTATGGAAGTCTGTAGAGTGAATCGTCCTCGCTGCATGGAGAGAGAGTATGTGAAATAATTTATGTCATTTTAAAACACCATTTCCCTCATTTCCTAAATACAAGTCCGCTCACCCCTTTGGTATGTGTACGAGCTGTGTTTCTATTTACCACTGCCCAATTCTCTCAGAACTTCTGCTCACCCTAATTGCTTATTGATGGGCAGACCAAATATGCTTCTTTAACCAGTTTTTTGAATCCTGGGCTCTGCACTGAAACCATTGACTGCATCCAGCAAGGGCACCACTCAGCAGAAACTGCAATTATTCAGCAGTTCTGCTGAATAAAAATGGAGCAAACAGGCAAAACTATTCAAAAATGTTGTTTATGCTAGGCTAAACTGCTCAGCTACCCAAGGTTACCCATATTGGAAATACACAGAATTGGCCTTTTGTGGCAGCTGCAGTTCATCTCCTGCACAGTGGCGGAGGGGAAAAGAACAAAGTACATCACCACTAGGAATATTTTAGCAGGACTAGGATGAAATTTAATTGCCTCATTTGAAAAGATCAGTTTATCAAATCCACGGTCTTACTCCCAGTTAAAACCCCGTCAGCACGCCTCTGGCTCTTTAAAATAGCAAGACAGCAGCTTTTTTTCCACGTGTTTAGGCAGGCAAAAGCCGTTTCTACTTTGCCTGGGATAAAACCTGTATGAGGTGTGCTATTCACTTGCCACTTCTTCCAATTGCACCCGTGAATGCTCGTGGCTCTTGAAGTAGGAGTTTATGGCAGCGTGTTTCTAGGGCCATGAGGTTGACAGGTTCTTTCTTTACCTCTACTTCACTATAAATAGGAGCATATGCAGCCCCAGATGTAACAGTTCTCTGAGTAAGGATCTCCTTCACCTAGTTCCCATGAGGTAAAAGTGAAGATTTAATCAGTCTTTACACTTTTATATTTTTTAAATTATTTAACTTTTATTACTGTTGCACCATTTATACAATTACATATAATTTCAATGCATCCATTGTACATTTTGTTTTTTCTTTTGTTTTCCAATGAGTGTGTGTTGGTGTCTGTGACACAGAATGGAAGAGAAACTGGAACTGCAATGAACGCAGACTTTTTCATTTCCACTGACCAATAAACAGAACTACAGGTGCACCCAACCACGGACATGCATTAACTCGTCATGAGAAATCTAGGTAGGCTAAGTAGGATGAGAATGCTTTTTACTCCCAAAAAATATTTGGAGAGGAAGAATTGGAGGATTGGCATTGAGAAATATGTGGACAGCTAAGTGGGTTTTGTCTGAAAGTTGGCATTCATCCACTGCATAAAAAAAATATCAAAATAAGAAAGGCTGTAAATAAAAAAACCACAGAAAATACTGCTTTCATAAAGATCTGATTGCCTTGGCACAAACCCAGTGGGCAGAATCAAACGCATCACTCCCAAACCCCATTACAGAACAAAAAGAAGATTTTGATACATTGGTGGAGTGCATTTACAGCAGTTCAGATACAAAAGATGTGCTGTACTTTCAGACATCCATTTATTTTACTTTTTTTTTTTTTAAATCCAGGACTTGTGTCAAGTTGGCAGAAAGTATATTAGATATTTCCCCACAAAAATACTATTTGGATTCTCCCCCCTCCCTCCCTCCCAAGTTGATGGGACATCCTTTTCATTTTTTCTTTTTTTTTTTTTTTCTCCTTTTCTTTCTGGGCAATACATATTTGTTATTTCAGATCTGAAACGAGTTAGTATAGCTGAAAAAATAAAAAAAAGACACAGGTTGTTTTAAGTGGTTGTTTCAACAGGCTGTCCAATTTAATCTTGCACTGCTATGGTTTGATCCGAATTAGTCGCTGGAACTTCAGAAGGTTTCGCTTCCTCTGGTGGGGCTGCAGGGTCCGAGGCCTTAGCAGTGGAACTAGGTGCCGCTGTTGCTGCCGCGGGCTCCTTGGAAGAAGGCGCAGCCTCGCTGCTGCTAGGTTTTGAGTCTGAAGCTGGGGCCACTTCGCTTTTAGTTTCTTGGGCTGCAGGCGTTGCGGGAGCCTCAGTCTTTTTGGCTTCCCCTTCCTCTTTGCTCTTGTCATCTGCTTTACTGGGAGCTGTGGCTTCTGAAGGCTGGGAAGCTTTTGCATCGTTGCTAGGCTCAGAAGTTTTGGCTGCTTCGCTACCGGCAGCGGGAGCAGAGGCTGCAGTCGGCTCCTCTTGCTTGGGTGCCTGTTCATTGTTCTTCTGTGGCTCTACTTTCGCATCGACAACCGCCTCCGACTTCTCTGGTTCTGGTTTCTGGGTTTCTTCCTGGGTCACTGTTTTCTCCTTCTCCCCTTCTTTTTCTTCCGTCTTATTGGCAGCGACCTGAGTATCCTTTTCGCCCTTTTCCTCCTTGTTGTTCTCCTTCACTTCTGTGGTCTCTGTGGTTTGCTGGGCATCCTCAGCCTCCTTTGGAGTCTCCTCTTCCTCAGTTGCTGCTCCTTCAGCCTTCTTGTCTTTGTCTTTAGCTTTTTCATCATTGACACTGTACCCCTTCTTCTTCTTGCTCAGTTTGCCTCCCATGTCGGAGCTCTGTAACAGAAAAGAGAAGGAAGTGGTTACCCAAAGCCCAGCATTTATCACTGAGAGAATCAAAATCAGATCAACTGAGGTGCAAGAGAAAAATTGATGCTGGCTCCGAAAGGAAGACTACAATAGGCTTGGTCAGACTTTATCAGCTGAATGCATTGACACCACTGAGCACCACTGCCACTGAGCTTACGTCCCACTCAGCCCTGCAGCATTTCAGTCAGCAAACCCCCTTCTGCCACATCCCCTTCTCAACAGTCCTTCTCTGAACCCCTCTAACCCTGGTTACTCTTCAGAGGTGAGGGAGTGGAGGGAGTAACAAGGTGATGGAGGACTAACATAAACCATGAACCTGAGAAAGGGATATAAAGGGTGGATGTAGAAAAGAGCCCATTTATATTCAGGTTGGGCGCAAACTGAATTTGACTGTCAATCTTGGCATTTGCCCTCAGTTAACACAAAGTCCACTATCGCTCTAGCAAAGGCTATGAACGAGCTTTGCATTAAGGTTTGGAAAGATCAAAGTGAGCCTAGAGTCAGTGAGAAGGCCGATGTTCTTCCGAAGACAGAAGACTGCAGCTACGCACTCCACTCTCCCCGCTTGTTACCTGCGCAGCCAGCTCCCACTGGATACACAGCCTGGGTGCAGGGCTGATGGTACCCGGAGGCGGGGAGCGCGCGCCTCCCTCACCCAGAGGGGTGCGGGCACCCCATTACAGCAGCCCCAGAGGTCGGAGCAGCTCCCAAGTGGAGACGTCCCCATGCACGGAGACCCCACCCAGCCCCTTCCCACCCTGTGGCTCCCACAGGGATCGCCAACCACGAGCCCCCCATTCCCGCACACGACAGCACCCCACAGGCCCCCGCCGCAGGATGGGAAACACAGAGCCTGAAACACAGCGAGCCTGTGACCACTGGGGAAGACAACAGAAGCAAATATGGGCACTTCCGAATGCAGGGCTTACGGGTAGTACGTGACATGACACAATAAAAATCGGGGCAGGGGGTGGTAAGAGGGGTGCATGCTTTGTAGCCTCTGCTCACGGTTTGCAAGCATGACAAGTGATCAGGTACACAGTTCAGTTGTTTAAAAGAAGTTGAGCGTGTACATAACCGTACCAGTATTTATATACCCTTCGTGTGGGAGTCTCAACTAAGAATACACAAAATTTTCCACACTGCTTCAAAGCACTCTTTGTCTATTGAAACAGGAGGAGACACAGATATATCGTGTCATTAATGAACATGAAAATCTCTACGATTGCCTAAAAAATACACTTCTGGTATTAAATATATCATTCAGACTCAATGAAAGGTTAAGAAAAAAAAATTCCTAGTTTTGTACCATTTGAAAATAGTGGAGAAGGTGAATTTTTCAAAATACTGTCAAACAAATGTTTAATTTCCAAGTTTCTCCAAGGGAGCTAAATCATTCTAATTTTCTCTTTTGCAAAGGTAGGTAGCCTCATAGGCCCTACATTTTTCACACACTTGCCAAAACTGTAGATAAAAACCAGTAAAAATTCATAGGAGTGCTTATAGGAAGCTAAATGGTAAATAATTTTACTACCACTAAGAACTAGCTGTCTTTCAGTAGATTTTTTGCGACCACAGCCACAAGGCATGGGCACAGCCGAACAGCAAATTTTCCCTGTCCTGGGCAAAAATGAGATATTATGGTCAGCAGAGACCTTCCTGATTTCAGCACTCAAGAAGAATAACAATTTGCAAATACTGGTGAAGGGTTAGCACGCAGCTCTGCACAACGGTACCTAATGTTATTAAAACACTACTTTGTTGTCTGAAATATTATGCGCAACAGCAATAAAAGGATTAACTTCCACAGAGCCACAGTTGAGCAATCTAATCGCTACCTTCATGGCAGAGATACCAGCTTTTTAGGTATTTTTAGGGCAGTCTATGGACATTAGTTTGTTATCTGACAAATTTACAGGCTTCTTGATACTCCATAAATATTGCTTCAGCTTATTGTTTATGTACAGTTACAACCAAAAACTTCGAAGGGCTTTTGCAAGTCAGCAGGATCAGAGATTTATACTGAAGTCATGTGTGTCTCCCAATTTGCAATCCCTAATTAAGCCTGTGTTTGTTTCCCAGCAAAGCCCAGCTACTGTGAGCTTAATTTCATTTGCTGCATCTTCCATATTTTTCCAGATTTTGCTATTAGTAACTATTAGTTACTACTGTTAAAATGGTAGTAACTCACCACAATTTATATTTCCTTCTACCTCAAATACAGCTAGCTACAGAATGTGTATGCCAAAGGACCTTTAATAAGCAGAGGAGCATGCATACAAGAAATGTGCTCCCAAACTATGACAAGAAACACGCTCTGTCTTTGCTCGGAGGTATACTGCGAAATTGCTGTGCCTCAATTTGCATCCCAGCCAGCTGGCTCAAGATACTGGAGCGGAAGATGGGGAAGAGGTTCAGAGACTATCATTATGCTCTATTAGTAAATATTTACAGATACAAGTGGACTGCCACCTTCCAGCAGTTTCAACTACTTCAGGACAGAATAGAATCAATCCTTGTGACACTGAATCTTACATCTCCCTATTTAAAAGCCACCTAGATCATCGTTGTTGTAGCTATGCCAGGCTACCATGCAAAAGCACAGCAATCATGAGGGTTATCGCCCAGGCCTGCAGGTAGCAATGCTATGATGTTCCTTTCCCCCCCCCCCCCCCCGTATTTGAATTACAAATACTCCTCCTCCTCTCCCCAGCCTCCTGATAACATATCTGAGCTCCCCTGTCACGTTCTCCAGAAACAGCCCCCACGTGCTCCACTGCCCCAGAGAGATGCTGGTCCTAGTCCCTGTCCCACCTTAACTGTGCCTGAAGCAACAGCTCTGAACCATCCACTGCAAAGAGCCTCAGGGTGCAGCAGACACAAAGCAGACCTTAAGAAGCATTTTAAAATTACAGCCAGCTATACCTGGAAGGTAGGGTGTAGATCAAGCCACTTAACCATCCCTGTGACTGTACTGGATATTCTTGCAGGGATAAACCCACCTGGTGCCACATGACAGTGAATCTCAGTGAAATGTCTCACAAGTGAAGCAGACAGCAAAGTGCATTATGGATTCATACCGTGTTAAATCCACTCTGTATTACTACCTACATATTAACACTTGCAAGAGTACAGACCTTTTTGCTCCCTCCCCCGCCCAGCAAAGGACTAAAGTCTAACAAAAAGTAGATACCTTGCCTGTCCCAGTGAGTCTGATGGCCCTGGCTCCATTGCTCAGCCTCTCCCTAACCCCCATGGCCATTGCATCCACCTTATGAATGACAGACCCAGGAAAAAAATTTGCCTACAACTATTTACCATACAGGCTAATACCCAGTATGGCTTCAGTTACTTGCACTACCATTGACACATAAGGGTCTTGAACTAGCTCTAGCAGCTGAGTGCAAACCATATCCAAAAGGAAGATGCTTGAAAATTTTGGTGGCGAGCACCATTCCTGTAAAATGTCACAGCATTTTATAGCTGTGCCTCTTCACTACTGGACAGAAAAGGGTCTGGAGAGAGACAGCCTAGAAGCAGATATTATATAAGAAGTTGCAATACATCAGTTATTTTCAGGGAACTTTGAGGAATCAGTTGGCAAACCAGTGCATCAGAAGAGCAAGGCTAAATACAACACTTCGAAGTTATAACAGACTTCATTTGTTTCTTAACATGCTCAGTATTCTTTGACTGTATTGCTCTTCTCGTGGAAGGAGAGACAGATGCAGAGACCACTACAGAGGACTTCTCTAGCAGGAGCAAGGATTCCTTTGGTTTCTAAGAGCTGCTGTTCATTGTGCTCATCCTGAAGTTTCCATTCTCCTGCTGGAACTGAAGAGCTTGCACAGGTACCTTTCTTATTGTATAGAATAAATAATCTGACTATATTTGTATTACAAAAAATCACATCTACAAGTCACCTACAGCACGTCTAAGCACATTGAAAGTTGAATATTTGTTATCATCAGGATTTCCCAGGATAACAGTGTCAGAAAGAGTTAATGTCCATAAGATCATAATAGAGCAGGAAGACAAACTCACAGAACGTTTTAGATCTTACACCTGAAGACTGAGCTGACCTGGTGGAGACGAACTCCTGGAACACAGGCAACATACACTTGTACAGTTTGGGAAAGGAAATGTTATTTCCAAGTTTCATTTTTCAAATTGCGCTTCTATAACAAAAAAGTCCCTAGAATTAGACCCTTACTATCTCTCTTTTCTTTCAGTAAAGATTTGTCTGCCCAATTAGATTTCTTATGTGCTTCTGAATTTCTAAACGTTTCATTTAGCACACACTTGCACATTCCATGAAAGGGTCTGGCTATTAGAGGAATGGACTTGCTATCACCCTCATTCTCAGTACAGAGAACAGTGCCTCAGGAAAGGACAAAACCACAGATACCACCAGTAAATTGCCATAGTCTGATTGCCAAAGCTAAACTTCCAAAGCTCCTGTTCAACTTCACGTGAAGTGCGGGGAGCTCAGTCCACCTCCAGAAAAAACAGTGCAGGAAGACAACAGGCATCTTCTGAAATCCGTCCGCCTTCAGCGCAGTGTAGGCACGCGCGGTGGGTCAGGCCAAAGTAGCCCTTGCATGAGCCTGTTCCCAGGCATGAGTTATCTCACATCGCCTGCAGACAAGAGCTGTAAAATGCACATCCCTCCCAAGGCAGGGTTTCAACACTCCAAACCAAAGAAAATACTGATCCCAGAAACCGCCCCACCCCCCAGCTGCTCAAAATAAATAAAAAGCTCTCAAAGAAACCATTGCATGGCTGTACCTCATTCATTGACCCTACGCCTCTGTTTAAAAAAAAAAAAAGCAAGTTTTTGTAAAGGGATATATATAGCAACTTAAGGAAACAAGGAATTTCCAGACACAATTTTCAACAGATTTTCTGAAGCTTTTATGAAAGAAAAAAAAAAGAACTTTTTGCTTCTCAAAATAATGCAGAA